ATCCTTCAGAGCCTTTCCCAAAGCCAGGTACTTGCCATTGCTGTTTTTCACATGAACTTGCTCCGAGAGGCAGCACTGAAGAAGAGCAAGGCACAGACCTGGCCTGACCACCCAAGCCCCAGAGCTTCTTGGTGTCCCGGCCCTGCTGGGTCACCCAGCTCCCTGGGGCTGCAGGACACGGGGGACAGGGACACCGACTGCAAGCCAGAGCCCTGCAGGAGGATGGGGAAGCATTTGATACATGTCACGTTGTTGCAATCTAGACGGAGCTGCTGCACAAAGTTCAGCCCTGCCATGCCTTCACTTCCCTCTGCCTGCTGTTCAGGGCTCATCCCTGGCCCACTCCCAAGCTGGGGCAAAGCAGATCCAGGGGATATAGCCTGCCTTCTGCCACTTTGGAGGGGTTTCAGCGGAGCCAAGAGTGACACACTGAGATGAATATGCCCTCCCAGCAGGCAGCCACTGGCCTAGCTGGATACCCACAGCCCTCTGCTGCTGCCCTGCAGCCCCTGTCCCCCATCAGGCATGGTCACCATCCTCTGCAGCTCTGTGCCCTACAGGTCCCCAACCCCAGAGCCTTGTGCCCCCTACAGCCCCTGTTCCTTCTCATCCACAGCCACCCTACAGCCCCCCATTCCTTCTCACCCACAGCCCCCCTATCCCCTATAACCCATATTCCTCCTCACCCACAGGCCCCCTACAGCCCCTATTCCTTCTCACCCACAGCCCCCCATCCCTTATTCCTTCTCACCCACAGCCCCCCTATCCCCTATTCCTTCTCATCCACAGCCCCCTACAGCCCCCATACCTTCTCACCCACAGCCCACTTTCCCCTTTAATTCCTATCCCTTATAGCCCCAGCCCTCTACACCCACCCATCCCTGCAGTCCCACCGCCCTGCACCCCTGCATCCCGCAGCTCCCGTCCCCATGCCATGCCATGCCATGCCATGCCATGCCATGCCATGCCATCCCATGCCATGCCATGCCATGCCATGCCCACCTGCCCGGCGGGGCTCCCCGCCGCAGGAGCCGCAGCCCGAGCCGGGGCAGCGCTGCCAGACGGGCCGTGGCCATTGCTCCAGCGCTGGCAGCACCCGAGCACCCGGCGGGACCCGAGCCGGCCCGTTCTGTCCCGGCCCGGCCCGCTCTGTCCCGGCCCGGCCCGGCCCGGCCCGTTTCGGTGCTGGGGGCGCGGCGCTCGGGCCCGCCCCGGCCCCGCTCCGCCCCGGGGCTCCGGAGCCGGCGGCGGCCGGAAGGAGGCACCGGGGGAAGGGAGCAGGGAACGCGCCCGATCTGCCCGCTCCGCGAGAGGCTGCAGGCTCAGACGGAACCCTCAGTCCTGCCGGCCCCCAGCCCAAGCTGTCCACCACAGTTTCTTCCCTGCACATTTCCGCTCCATTATCTCTTCTTGCCAGCCTGGTCCGTCAGCCTGACCCAACCTCTGTTACACCCCGCACAAGCCCCTCCACTCAAAGCAGTAGAGGTGGACTTTGGTGCAAGACAATCGCTATCATTTGTCCCCACCTGCGCTCACTTGTATCACTCGGTGCCCTAGCGCTGTGAGTCACCAGCCGGCCTCCAGCCCTGTCCTCCCAGTGAGTTACCACTTAGAGCCCCACTCACACCTTTCGGCACTCCCTGTGGAGGAGAAGAGACGAGCCAGGAACGGCAGAGCTGCTCCAGGGCTGGGCAGGCCGAGATCCCCTCACCAGGTAAGGAGTGTGGTGCTGCTGAGCAGTCACAGTCACACAGTCTGCCTGTATCACATCAAGCACAATGGTGCTGACAAACGAGAGCATAAATATCAGCCTCAGAATGGTGAATCTGACATCAAAGCCAAAAATGTGCTTGTGACAGAAAGTGAAATAACTGCCACAAGATCTCTAGTGTCTAACACTTGCTTTTAGAAATGAAGGATTTTCCCCAATGTGCATCTAGTTCACGAGGTATTTGTTTGGTGGCAGCAGTGACAGTGTCTTCTTTGTGAGGGAAAGGGAGACTTTTTTCCCTTGAAATGTCAAAAAATTGCCTTGGCTGCAGAGGGGTCACAGAGATCTCCCGAGAGTCTGGGAATGGTCAACGCCAGGCTGGCAGGGTCAGCTCAGGCCCAGTAAGGGTCGTTAGATCACAATTAGAGCGACTGTGTTCATGCCACTTCCCTCAGCATTTCCTCCTCCCTTGTCCTTGCTAATGTTCCTGCAAGCCCCAGCAGAGTGCACAGATGTGCCTTGTGCTGTGCTTTGTCTTTGTCTTGTGGGGCTTCAAAGTCTTTCTAGCCTACATGCACGGATACCTCAGTCCCACTGAACTCAGCAGCAAGGTGAGTTTCTGGATTCCACAGGGGATGTAAAGCTGTGTGACATCTGTGGTCAGAATTTGTCCTTCCACCGTTTGGCCAGAGCAGAGCAAATGTCTTTGTGCTGATGGAGCATCAGAGCTCTCGGTATTGTATAACCACAGAGGAAAAAAATTTATGCAAACCTGTAATAAATAAAAATAAAGATGACTTTTGGCTTGATCTTCCCACATTATGGTCATTAGCACAGAGGGTGAATCCTGGTTAAAGAAAGAATTAAACCAAGGATTATACAGAAATTAATGTGACCTTAATATTTGGGTATGTTTGTTTGAGATTCTAGTGGTTTTGGCTAGAGATCAAAGTAAAGAACCCCTGAAGCAGTAACATTTCATACACCATTGCATAAGGTACCATTCATTTCTAATCAAGATTTTAAGATCAACATATTTTAATCACAAATAAGTAGGTAGGTTTTGTAACCCATCTACACCCTTGTTTGGTTTTGCCAGGAGCCAGTGGCTCTTGGATTTGAGGAAACACAGATTTCAGTCTCTGTAGCATTGCATTCACCTTTCCCAGATATACAGAGAGTCTTGCTCAGGCCCCCTCAGAGCCCCTCTGGGTTTTGTTCTCCAGAGCAGGGCTGTATTTGGTGCCTCCCAGCCATGGAAGGGAACAGCACATCACATCACACACACGAAACCCTCGCTGGCTCAGGGTAATGAGCTGTATTTGGTGCCTCCCAGCCATGGAAGGGAACAGCACATCACATCCCACCACACGAAACCCTCGCTGGCTCAGGGTAACGGGTGGGTCACTAATCAGCTGCCTGCCTTGCAGACCTGCCTTCCCCACCACTCCCTGGAGCAGGGCTTCTCTGGCCCTTCCTTCCAACAGCAAACATTGTTGTGAAAAGCCGAGGTATGGGGGGAGATTCTTGGACAAGTAGACCTCGCTTCTCTCTGATGAGGGCTCTGTAATTTCTGCTCACATTTGGAAGAAAAATAACATGAAAAACTTCCATAATCTCCTGGAGAGGAGCACCTCAACCTCATGCAGACTTTATTTAGTTTGTATGAGGCAAAACCTTGTGTGCTGCTTTGGGGTGCCTTTGTTCAGAGAATCCTGTGGCCTCAGTTATCTCAGTACTGAGATAATTCTAGGTTCTGGGTGTTGGAAGAACTTCACTGGCAGCTTAAAAATGAACAAATGCATCCAGAGGGTGGATGTGCTGCAGCAGTGAAAACATCTTTGCAATGTCCCAAACATCACAAATAGCACAGAGGTCAGCAAATTCATGGTTAGTCCTTGCTGTAATCCCAGTACCAGGTAACACTAATCTGGCTGTACCCCAGGCTCCTTTCTCTTTCACTGACTTTCTCCACAGAGGAGAGTGCTCTGCTGCTGTGGGACTGGAGCCTTGGGAGCAAAGCAGGAATATCCATCAAGTGTTCCTCCTGTGAAGAGACATTGTGGGGTAATGTAACAGCCCAGCTGAGAGGGAATTCACCCCCTGGATTAGGGAGAGTGTGGACAGATATAAGCAGCTGTATCAGATGTTGCAAAACTAGGTACACGTCCCTGGGTTTCTGTTGGGATTACTGGCAATAAACCAGTTGGCTCTCTGTGTGGTGGTGGTGTCAGGTGAGGTGACTGGATGCAAAACCTCCCCTGCTCACGGGTCTTGGCTGGGAGCTCTCCTGCCTTCTGCAGGGCTGCTTCATGTAGCCCAGATCTAAACTCCTGCCAGCCTGGCCAGGGTTCCAGGGCTGGTGGGACAGCTACAAGAATGCCCTGAGCTGTGCCAGTGTGTCCCAAAACAGGCTCTCTCACCCAGTGTGCAAGAGGCCGACCCACACCCAGAGTTGAGGTATTTGATTTATTTACAGTTCTGCACTGGATTGCAAATCCACAAAGCCAACATGACAACGGTCAAAACTTTTGACTCTATATTTCAGCAAACTAAAGGCATTAATGTTCATTGGCTACAAGTTACCTAGTTCTCATATCAATTAGTATTTTGTCTTCCATTGCTTAATGATTTTTTCACTTCCCATGCTAATTAGTCCACAGTCTTGGTCTTTCTCTTCTTTTGGGTTGGTGGGTTTCTTGGGTCTGTGGCCATGAGTAGGTGGTCACAATCTGCCCCTTACTGAATTACCTTTTACCTGCTTGGAGCTGATTCAACCCAATTGCTGAGTTAGCATTATTAGTTTCTTCCTTATCTTGGGGATTCTGCATAACGTCCTTTTAACCCATAAATCCTGCATTCCTTGTTCCTGCTATCAGCAGCACATCCTTCTTCCCAAGCTTTGTTAACTTAACCTTTGTTAAGTCAGAGATCATCGGAGCAAGCCTTAAACCCCAACAAGACAATTCCACCAACAAGTAATTCCTCTTTCAAGACAGCGCTTCGAGCTTGTTAGCTGCTGTCTGCTTCAGGGATTAACTCCCCTTTCTTTTCGCTTGGGTTTGACCGCAGGCAGAGCTCAAACACCAGACAGCATCCTCGGGACCGTCACTCGGTGCCGTGCTCTGCTTGGCGGCCCCGCTCCGGGCCGGCAGCGGGCGCGCGCTGGGCCGTGCCGAGCCGTACTGAGCCGCATCCCCGTGCCACGCCGGGACGGGCCGAGCCGTGCTGGGCCGTGCCGAGCTGTGCCGAGCCGTGCTGGGCCGTGCCGAGCCGTGCCGGGCCGTGCCGAGCCGTACTGAGCCGCATCCCCGTGCCGAGCCGCATCCCCCGCGGGCAGCGCCGACGGAGCCATGTCGCGGGGCAGCGGGAAGGGGCTGAGCCTGAAGGACAAGCTGGACGGGAACGAGCTGGACCTGAGCCTCTGCGACCTGAATGAGGTGCCGGTGCGGGAGCTGGTGAGTGTCCGGCCGCAGGATCCCCGGCAGGAGCGGGGACCGGCTCCCGGCAGGGCAGCCGGGTGTGCCGGGGGCTTGTGAGCTGGCCTGCGGGTATTTAAAGCAGTGTGGTTCTGTGTCCCGCGGGCCCGGCAGCCGCTATCTCTGCTGTCCTGGCAATCAGAACCTTTTGGAGCACAGAGATGGATCCGGAGATGACGTGACCCAGGAGCCGCCGCGGGGGATGGACAGACTGACGCGGGAGAAACCGCAGAGGCCGGAGCGGAGCAGGTGTCACAGGGGATCGGCTGAACGTCCGTGTTCATTCAGTGCCTTATTTGTGTTTCAGGCCGCTCTTCCGAAAGCTACTGTCTTGGATTTGTCCTGTAACAACCTCATTTCCTTGCCGGTAAGGTGCTAGAGAGCCTCCGTGGGGATGAGTGTGCTGGGAAATATTTGGAAAGATAGCTGGTGCTTCAGGAGAGGCTCACCAGGCACTGTGGAATGGGCACTTTCGCTGCCCTGGGGTGGCTGAATGACTCAGTTTTCAGTGACAGGTCAGTGCTGGCAGTGGATTTGGCTGAGGCAGGAGAGAGTACAGGGTTGAACTGTGTGAAGATTGCAGTACATTCCTTCCAGAGCATCCCCAGGTGAATACAGAGGAGTTTCATCAGCAGTGGAGACTTGGGTTTGTTCCTGTCATATTGTCATCCATAACCTTCTCAGTCTTATCTGTCCCACTGTGTCTCACCTCCATCTTCCAAGGCGAAGGAGGAGAGTGATTTTCCTCCATCACAGCCCTGTAGTAAGTCAAGGATTTGTGCCTGGTGTGAGTTGCAGGCTATCTCCACTTACTTCCCACTTAGGTGCTTCCATAAAAGTAATGACCAGCTTTCTCTGGGTTTTCTCTGCTTGGATTTTAGTCAGACTTCTGCAGTTTGATGCATCTGGTGAAACTGGATTTGAGTAAAAATCGGTTGCAGCAGCTGCCCTTGGACTTTGGCCGCCTGGTGAATCTGCAGCACCTGGACCTTCTGAACAACCGCTTGGTCACCCTGCCAGTCAGCTTTGCACAGCTCAAGGTAAAACTGTTTGCTGGGCACTTACGTAAAGCTTTGGGATGCAGCCCACGGTCTTGTGATCCTGCTCAAGTTGATTTCTCTGGTAAAGCATCCATCCTGCTGACTACCCATTCCAAAATTCAGCTGGGTCTGCACTGCAGCTCAGTGAAAACCCTCTCAGTGTATTGAAAACATCTCTGCTTATCTTGTGTATCTGTTTCATTAATGTGAAAACTAAGCAGTTCTTTGCTTCTGCTTTGGACCTCTTAAATAATTCCAAGACTTCCAAATAATTACAGCCTCTTCTTTGTTGTGCCTTTTTGCAGAACCTGAAGTGGCTGGATCTGAAGGACAATCCCCTGGATCCTGTCCTGGCTAAAGTGGCAGGAGATTGTCTGGATGAGAAGCAGTGTAAGCAGGCTGCTGTCAAGGTAAGGAGTCTGGTTTTATTCTATTTTTTTTTTCCTTTCATGGCTTTGCCAGTGATTCTTCCTCTGTTTGCTTAGCAAGCTGGGCAGCTCTGCAGGAGCCTGAAGTTTCTTCAGGGAGTGAGGTGCAGGTCCACTGCACTGACTCCCCTGCTGTGTTGCCTGTGGAGAGCAAACACCTGGCTGAGGAGGATGCTTCTCCATTCGTGGAGTTAAGAGAGGATTAAATGCTGGTTGCCAAGAAAGTGGAGGCATAATCAGTCATAGTAATCCATGCCTGTGCTGATAGTACAAAAACCTCTGGAGAAGTTCTGGCAAACATAAATAGAAATGTTCTGTGATCCTGTGTATCACTGTTTGCCACGTTTGTTTTTAATGGGAAGATTTGTTTTTTAGCAACAGAGACTCACATAAGTTGTGAGTTCTTTTCAGAGCCGTAGCTGTAGGGATAGGTGAGGGTTGGGGGTCAGCCCCAGCTGCCTGTCCTCAGCCACACTCCATCTGTTCTGTTCTGAACTGACTGTGCCACTGGGCTTCTGCACAGCTCTCAGGTTGTTTTCTTGGCTATTTAAGGTACTGCAGCACATGAAAGCAATCCAGTCTGAGCAAGATCGACAACGGCAGCGGAAACTCCAGGCAGAGAGAGGTAGGGACAAAGAGCCCCCACGTGCTGTCTGCTGAGGACTGCTCTTGGACCGTCTAACACACCCAAACATCCTGATTGCCATCTAATAAATTGCCATCTAACACATACTTTTAGCCACCCAAACCCAAAGTACTCAGGGAATAGTAGAGTAAAAGGGCTGGAGGGAGAAATATAGCAGGGTGTAGCGTATGTGATTTCTTGGCCTGAGGAATAGTTAAATCTCTAGATGGAATGTGCTATAGGTTACCTATAAAACATGAACAAAAAGCACAGCAAAATGCAAGGTATGTAATACTAAATAAAATTACAAAAAAGAGGATAGTTGTTTAATTGCTTTCCTCATTCCAGTTGGGATAATAAGGTAATAAGGAAAATGGCAGTGACAACCCTTTACATAAAAGGGACAAACTTGCTGTTAACCCCCAGAAATGGAGAAGAAGCGTGAAGCAGAGCAGCGAGCAAAGGAGGCTCTGGAGAGAGAGCTGCGGAAGCGAGAGAAGGCAGAGGAGAAGGAGCGCAGGAGGCGCGAGTACGATGCTCAGAAAGCTGCAAAACAGGAGATGGAAAAGAAAACTAAAAAGGAAACAGTGCACACCCGAAGTAAGTAGTGTCCATTTTGGGTGGGATTGTCATCAGATGGTGATGCTGCCAGAATTGCTTTCATGCAGCCCAGGTACTGGGAGACAGTGGGAGAGGGTGGGGTGGAACTTGTAGAAGTTCCGATAAACTCTGCTGCTGTGCCCTTTTCCCCTTTTCCTGTGTTCCCATGAACTGTGGAGATACAAGTCAGGAAGTTCTCCAGCTGTTCCTACTGAGAACTTCCCTCCACTCATTTTTTACTTAAGTCTATTGAGCTACATTTGCATAATCAGATCTTGTGCAACACAGAGGTGTTTTACACCCTCTTCACTGCTGCCTGTAAAACTGGACCTGAAACTTTTCATCCTAAGCAGTTACATCCTGCACATCTACTTATTTATCAGAGCTAAGTGATGATAATTCACACCAAAAGCCAACTGCAGCAGAGGATTAAGTAGGTTACGTAGCAGTTTGTTTGTGAGCACAGCCTGTTGGAGTTGATTAACTCCTCACGTTCTGTCCTATCCATGTTCTCACTGCAGAGCCAGCCTCCAGCTCCCGTCCCCCCCAGCCCCCCCGGCACAAGGCCTCGTGGTCACGGTCAGTGCTCAGAGTCCTGCTCTTTGTGCTGTTCTGCATCCTCTGTGCCCTGGCTGCCTGCAAGCTGACAGAGCTGCAGCATCAACCTCTCTGCATCAGCGTGAACACCCTCTACGAGGATGTGGTGGCTGCTCTGCAGAACCACAAAACCCTGCAGAACATGCTACAGCACAACTCGCACCAGTGATTGTCCTGGGTGGGCACTTGCTTCGTCAGCATCTCCTTCCACCATCTACGCAGCCAGAATTCCTATGGAATTGTGTTCTGATGAAACTGCTTTGAACCAGTCAGCATTGGTTTGCTGGTCCACTCCACAGAGCAGAGCTATTGTTCAAACTGTCTTTGTTGTGCATGTCTCTCAGTCGGCCTGTAACTCCCATTATTTGTGCACGTTAACCTAAACTTGTTACCACTCCTTGCCTCCAAGTTGTGTCCACCAGGATTGTGACGTACAGGAAGCTGACAGTCTATAGCAATGGGAACAAGCAGCCCTCACATCATCTGGGTGAGACAGCTGTAGCTCTGAGCTAGAGGAAGGTTTTTCATACATACCCGTTCCTTGCTCTCTTTTCTGTTTGTGCTAAAACTGGTGGTATGGCTGTATGGGAATAATACACTAAGGCCCACTCCAGGACCAATTGCAGGCATGTAGGATGGCTGTGCATCCCTATGTTGGAGCAAAGAGGCTGATGTGCTATTGAAAGAAGCTGAAAATTTTCAATACAACAGTTTTCACAGCAATTTGTCTGAACTGGATGTTTATGTTGTTAACATAGCTTTCGTTTTAATTAGGCCTTTTAGGAACAGCCACAAATGATTTCCAAGTACGTGGGAATAACTCCTGCCTGCTGCAGCTGCAGAAGCAGCACTGGGTGGCACTGTGGGAGCACTGCTGGCAGGAAAGGGGATGTCTCGGGGCTGGGGAAAGGCTGGGAGGTTTGGTGGTTTGCACTCTCACCTCTGCAATGGTCTGATTTATTTAGAATTTCCTTAAAATTTATTTAAAATAATTCATTGTAAAATTTCCTTAACTCCCATCATATCCTTAAGGGCTTTGTGAGTACTTAAACTGAAGTGCAAGTTTCAGAGAATATCTGTGCTACAGACTCCACTGAGACATTCTACACTGGTCTCCAGAATCGTTCCCTCTTGTCACACCTGGGGTTATTGCTGCCAGGAGCAGTGCTATGGGGAAACCATCACAGCAGTAAATGGTGTAAATCTTATTCTGTAACCCGACCATAAGATTGTGGTTCCCTGAGTATCACACAGGAGAGGTCAGCACAAGTATCAGATTAAAGGAAGGAAGGGCTGCCTCTGCCTTAGGAGGGTGCATGTTTTCAAAGCTTCCTTCAAACACCTTTAAGCTTTGCTTTGGGTGTCTAACTCATCCCATTCTTTAAAATATCCTTGCTCTCTACCCAGAAACGTTCATGAAAATTACAAACAGCATCTAAAGCAGTGTTTCTTCCATGCAGCCCTTGCTGCCAACATCCAGATGAGTGTTGCGTAGGTTGGGGAGCATGGGCTTACACAATTTATAGATTCAGGTCAGCAGGACAGGTAGGGATTTTTCCACTGGAGGCAGCAGGGATCCAAAGAGTTAACTTCCACACATGGGATGCAGTTTAATTCTCTGAGCACTCAGCAATGCTGTTACAAAAACCCCCAGCTGTCCTTGTGTGCACACAAGTGCTGATGGCTGCACGGACAGGCTGTGGTCCCCAATCTAATTAAAAGGAAGCTTTTTCTGCCAACTGTTTAAACCTCATAATTCCAGCACGTATAATCAGATTTCAAGACCTTCTCTAGATTAAGCCGTCTGGAGACTGAATCAGAGCACTCTAAACTTCTATCTGAAAATTAGTCTTACTCATTCCCATCTGCTGCAGCGGAACAACGAGAGGCTGTTTGGTGAGGTAAAATTCTTTCACCTCGCCAGAGCAGGTGCTGGGGGGGCAGCACCATGTTGCTCTAGCTTCAGGATTTGTCCCAAAGGAGGGAGAAGGGAAGTCCTTGCAGTTCAGGAGAGCAACAGGAATTATTCCTTTCAACAAAGGACATAACTGTCTATATTCATGACACCATGTTAAGAAGCAAAGGTTGTTCTTCAGAATTATTTATTTTATAGAAAGACAAAGCAACATCAGTACTGTAAGTTGTGTGCAACTCATGTGCTTAGGGAAGATGTTCACCATCTTTCTTGTGTAAATTCCTGCTATTCAGCAACTTTATCCAACTTTTTTCCTGCTACAATAAAGTCTAAATGCATTTCAAGTCTTTAAACAAGGATCAATGAGTGTTATCTAAGCACTTCTTCACAGAAGAAAACTGAAAACTTGACCAGACAAATGGTAAAAACTCTTATTCCCTGGAGCTACCCAGTGAAATCCAAACCTGAACACTTAACTGAACAAACAGCACAACCCTTTTGCCCTGTGCTAGCCGGTGAAATCCAGGCAGAGGTTGGGATCGTGGGACGTCATCTGCAGGTAGATGCGGCGGGACAGCTCGGGCCCGATGCGCCGGGAGGTGGCAGTCACGCCCTCCCCGCGGAGCACAGGGATGTTGGCCAGCATGTTCTCCCGCTCCTGGTCCGAGGAGCACCTCTCGTAGGCCTACAAGCAACACAACAGCAACAATGGCATCACCCACTTGTATCCACTGCTCAAAAACCCAATCACAGCTATGCACCTGTACCTGCTCTGCCCTTCCACAGTGTCCACTCATTTTTCACTTGTCTCTGCCCAAGTTCCATCTGTGAGTTTGGAGAGTGGAGCCAGTGCTACACCCTCAGAGAAAAGCCAGAATAGTATCCTTGGATGGATGCTAAGGAATCAGTTCCTTCACTGACCTACTGAACCCCTCATGCAGAATCACTCTATCTAATTTAGTAGTAATTCAATTACTTCTTCCACTCCCTGCATGAAGTGGCTGCCTGCACACAGTGCTGGGTGTCCCTGAGGCATCCTCACCTGGATCAGAAGCTGAGGAGAAGGGTAGGCAGACACGATAGCCTCAGCCATCTCAGAGCTGACACGGTTAAATTGCTGTATCTGCCTCTTCCAAACTTTCAAGAGACCCTTTCCAGAAGGATCCACCTTCACCCCTCTGCAACAGTCCTTCTCCAAGTAGAAGGAGAACCCTGTGTTCTCTCGCTCTCGCCTAGGGAGAACAAGGAATGAGGAAGCAAATGAGACAATGAGGCTGTGAAGAAAATCCTGTCCCTGCCATCTGTTGTCACAGAGCCAGAGGGCCATCCCTCACTTGAGCTGTCAGAGACACAACTGACATCAAAAGAAACATGAATAACTTGACCCTGTTTTCTTTACATGCACTACCAATTTCTTTCAGACCCAGATTGCTCCAGAAAAAGAAACAATCCTGTACTCAGCAGCAATCCTGACACAAGCCAACTTGCAGACAAAGTGGTAAACAAGAATTCACCTTCTGGCTGTCAACAATAACAAAACACTTTCAGATGTCATTTTTAATGACAGCTCACCTCTTGTCATGGCTGACATGAAAATCCAGCAGCTGCTGTGATAGGAATGCCAGGATTGTGTGAGACTGCACAAGATGGCTTTCTCAGCTATCCCTGTGCACCAAGCTGCTGTCCTCCCTTATCAATGGAAGGAGTCAAGTGGTTCATTCAGACATGTCTCTTAGTTACGCACTGAAGAAGAAAAGCTGGCACTCTAAGAGCCAACCCTACTTGCATTCCCTTCCCACTCCAAAAATCTGGCTCAGAACAAGTGCTCTACTTGATGTCAAGGCTCCAGTGTGAAACCTGAAGGTGCTGAGGCACCAGAACAAAGTGCTCAAAGAAGTTGCAGAGACCCAAAGAAGCTGTGGCTACCCCGTCCCTGTAAGTGTTCAATGGATTAGATGATCTTTAAGGTCCATTCCAACCCAAACCAGCCTGTGACTGTGAAACCAGGGTCTGTCCTGACCCCTCTGTGAGCAGGACATCAATTTCATGAACAAGTCCAGTGTTGGAGGAGCTGTAACAGCAGATGCTCTGTCACCTGCACCTTTAAGAGCCATTACACCCTGTGTTGTACCTGCTATTCCTCCCCAGTAACTTGAAGTACAGCCTCTCCAAAGGTAGGACCAAACCTACTCTGCTTACTCACTTGTATGGTGCCTCAGCCACAGCTTTTGTGAACATAGTGGCATATTCTCCAAGCTCCTCATTGCTCTCAAAAATGCTGATTTGGACTTGTGTACTCAGCTGCAGATCCACCAGGGCCTGTATCACCATTGGGAACAACAAATGGCACAATCAGTCTTGTTGCATCAAATTCCATATTTGTCTGAAGCAGAAAAGGGTCACAAATGTCCTGCTGTAGGCCAAGAACCTTCACTCTCTCTCCATTTTGGGAGCAGTTAACTTAAGAGACTGAAGTATTTAGGGGCAGTCTGTCTCCTGACAGTTAATATCCCCTCAGTGTCCTCTGAGCTGCTTCAGCTCCTCTGTGGCTCTGGTTACAAACAGGCCCAGACCAGCAGGCTTTGCCAATGGGCCATGAAGGGCAAGAGATGCTGAGACTGACATCAGTATCCAGGTGAATGAGACACATCAGTCTGTGTGGGAAAGGGTCAGGACTGAGCAGGGGCAGCTGAACCCAAAGAGCTCTGTCCACAGACTGATGGACTAATGAATAACAGAATCCACACACTCCCAGTCAAAACATTGTGTGACTGGGACAATGTTCAAATGCTGGGAGACAACAGATGATGGCTGCATGTGTTTTAAAAGAACTCACTTCTTTCACATCCATTCTGGATAAGTCCAAGCCAGAATCCTTAACCTCCTTTTTTCTCCTTTTCCCCCGTTTCTCTTGATTCCCACTCGCTGCTGTCTGTCGCAGCCTTTGTTTTGGCTGAACTTGGAGAGACCTAAAAAGAGTAATGTAAGACTGGGGTGACAGTCTGGATGGACCTTTGCTTCTGCTGGTGTATAAAAAGTGGTAGAGCAGTTATGGGAACACCTCTTATACTCCACTTTGCTAGAAGGAATTAACATAAACACCCATGGCACTTTCAAGGCCAGAGAAAACACAGAAACATTTGGAGGGAAGAAGTCTGACCTGAAATAATTTTCTACTCCAACCACTGCCAGAGCCAGAATTCTCCCGGGCATTTTCTCCATCATATGAGCCACATAGCTCTGCAGGGTCTCCTTCTGCCTTTCTGCACAGCCATCAGCATTCTACAAACATGAATGGGAAAAATAAGGAGTTAAACCATTCTGAGGTACACAGAAAAGCACAGCAAATTATTGCCCTGCTTGTAGGTCTGCAGATGAGTCTGTTCACCCTTGCTCTTCAGGGCAAGCAGGCAATACTTGATCCCATGTAAAGTTAGAGCAGAAAGAACAAAAAAAAAAAAAAAACCCACTTGATGTAACAATGTAAGCCTTCAGAGGAATGTGTGGAAAATTTTAACTAGCAAAGAAAGCTTGTCAGAACTGTACATTACACAGCCCATTAATGCCTTCTACACCCAGATTTCTGGTTCAGTGAAACCCTGCGTTCCTCCCACACCAAAACCTTCCTGCCACCAAGAGGGATGACAAAACGCTGCTTTTACATCAAGACATGTTCAGGAGCATAAAAGTCATAAGCATTCTCACTTGCTTGTAGCTGTGAGCCATGGACAAAAACTCCTTCAGGCCAAGCAGAACTAGAACATTTGGTTCTTCTGTCCATTCATCTCCTCCTCCCATCTGTTCAGATATGAAAACAAACAGGCCACAGTCTGTTTAGAATTCACTCAGACTCCCACTCAGACCTCTGAGCAGGGAAATCAGAGGGTGTTCACTTGGGTTGCTGAATACAATTACTAACAACTGCAAAAAACACATGAGAAAAAGGACAAGATGATCAAAATTTCGCTCACATACCTGCGATGTCACTGTCTTTCTCCTCCAGGTGATGCTGCAGGGAACAGCGTGGTTCTCAAACACACAGGAATAATTGGCAGCCTGCAAAGCACTAAGGATCTGCTCGCCACCTTCTACCTGTAAGATGACTGAAATCGATGCACGGGTCAGGCCTCCAGAGAGAGGAGACAACAGTCAGTACAAGGCAGCTGCAGGCTGTGAGGACAACTACCTGGATCTAGCACCACTGTTATGTATTTCTGGCACTCTCCTGGCCGCTGAGCTTTCAGCATCTTGGCAACGGCTCTCTTCCTCTCTTTCTCCTCCTCCTGCTCCCTCCTCTTTGCTTCTTGCTCGTTCTTTCTCTGCCCCGCATTCTGGCAGATTGCCTCCTGTTCCTTCTGACTGTATTGTCGCTTCTTGAGAGGGAGCGATGTTTCCGGCCTTTCTCTGCTTACCGGGGGGCTACTGGGCCTGTCAGAGTTGACTGGCAAGGAGCACCAGGAGGATGCCTCAGCATGGCGTGTGCCATTCTCAGTATCACAGGCTACTTCTCCAGCGGGCGTCAGCTCTTCCCGAAGCCCTTCGCTCCCAGGAGCCATCAGGTCGCCACTAGCACAAAGCCCAGATGCCTCTCCTTTATCACCATGGTTGAAAGGCTCAGGCTCCGCTCCCACACTCGTCTCGATCGTCTCGTTCAAAGGGACAACGTCCATCGCCTCCTCATCCCCCTCTTCGCTCCCGCTGCTCACCATCTTGACAACCTCTGCCGCTTCAGGATCGGGAGATGGCGACCGCGGGCGGCTCGGCTCGCCGAGGCATGGGGACGGCTGCAGCAGGTAGGCGAAGGAGGGCAGGTTCTCCTCCTCGCTGCTCTCGGACCCCGACTCGCCCTCCGCCATCTCCCCGCTCTCCTCAGGGGCACCCTGAGGGGAAAGCCCGCGCCGCCCGCTGGTTGGCCCGGAGGCGCGCGCACTGCGCGGCGATTGGTCCGAACGCCGGCCAGGGCGCGCGCCGGGACCAATCGCCGCCCGGTGCGCGCGCGTGCGCGTGGCCCCACCCACCCAGCGGGCGGAGGCGGGGCGCCATCAAGATGGCGGCGCTGGGACGGCTGTGTGAGTGAGGGCTCTGGCAGCTCGCTGCCCTCTGAGGGCCGGGGAGCGGCGGTCTGGCCTGCGAGCGGGGGGATGAGCTCGGGAGAAGGTGCCCCGGGGAGGTCACCCCGCGGGACGTCGCGCCCCCGGTGGGATGTAACCACCGAGGGCGCGAGGCCGAGGCTCTCGCTTGTTCCTCCGCTGAGGCGGGGCTGTGGTGGTGGTGATGGGCGGGTTTGTGTGTGTGAAACTGTAACTGTGCTTCGTCTTTCGCTAATTTCCTGAAAATCGTCAAGTCTCGGAGGCTTTAATTTACTTAATGGGGTTTTGTACCCTTTCCTCAACAGTATTTCTTAGAATTACGGACAGGTTTGGGTTGGAGGAAGCTGCCGAGGGCAGAGCTGCCTTCCACTGGAGCAGCTTTCAGTGACCCCATCCAGCCTCTGCTGAACACTTCCAGTCGTGGGACGTTTCCAGCTCACCCAGCAGCCGTGATGATTTAATTAAGTTAAACTAGCGGCTTTGCTCACTTTAAGGAAACAAGATAACCACTGTTCTGTACTGACCTGCTGCTCAACGGGCTAGAGGGATTCAGAAAAATTAGGTTTGTCTCCTGCCTGCATAAGAGATGGTACTGAAGAGATTTTTGAGATAATGATGACTTGGGTTGGGAGAGAACTTAAAGATCCCCCAGTTCCTACCCCCTGCCATGGGAAGGGACACCTTTCACTGTCCCAGGCTGCTCCAAGCCCTGTTCAACCTGGCCTTAAACACTTCCCTCAAACTGGGAGGATTAATGAAAAACACTCTGCTCCAGACTCCCTTTTTGCCATTCCCAGGGCTCTGTATTCCTTCTTAGAGCCTTTAATGATAGAATTACAGAATCATTAAGGTTGGGAAAGACTTCCAGTACCAGCAAGTCCAACCTTTATACTCCTGGATACTCCTCAGACTGTTTCTGGCTGGCCATAGATGTGTATGTATTTTCCAAAATTGGAGTCTGCTCATTTGTAAGATTTCAGGATGTAACTGTGTAAATAAATGACATTTGGTCAAAGGGGAAACTGAAACAAATCACAGCCCATCTTTTCCCAAAGCATTGTAAGAGCAATCCACAGTAACCAAAGACTTCTGTGCTGCATTTTACAAGAACGAAACAGAAATTTGTGCACATCATTTAACATGTTTGCTCAGAGTTTTATTCTTACCTGGGCAGCAGCAGCACTTGAGATGTGCCCTTTTTCCAAGGAACTTAGGCCATTTGGGTCTAATTTATCTTGGAAGTACTTTTTGTTTCTCCCAGGGCTTTCTTTTGCCTTTAATTTTAAAACCCATCTTAACTGATACCCTTACATATGACAGAAGGAATTATACAGGATATTTTTCCAGCTGATGTTGTTCTTTCTCCTACCCTAGTTCTAACCACTCACCATCCCAGCCTGGCTGCTGTCAGGTGGGCTTCTAAGAAAAGCGGGGGCAGCTCCAAAAACCTCGGTGGCCGCAGCCCGGGGAAACGCTATGGCTTCAAAAAAGTCGAAGGTAGGCCTGAGTATCTCATTTGCATTTCACTGCGCTCTTCACAGCTTCTCTCCCCTGCTGTGTGTCGGTTGTTGAGTGTTTCAGGAAGTGGGCAGGGCACTTTTCCAGGAGAAAGAAGGGGAGGATCAGTGAAACCTCGTGATCCAGGGTTGGTGGTGGGAGGGCAGGGTGAGTCAGATCCCCCCACCAGCCAAAATTGCCTACAGGAAATGTACTTTGGTTCCAACTTTGCCTCTCCAGAGAGCCCAAGAGGAGGGAGCACTGTGAGACACCTCATAACTGCATTGCACTTTCCCCCCAGCCTGGTGGAAAAACTGAGCATTTCCAGTGTTTACAAAGGAGAGAATTACACAGCTTAGCAGAAGCCAAAGTGCAGATTCTTGCGGCTGAGTGCTTAATAATTACTAGCTTTGCTGATGGAAACATGTCAATGTAAATGTAATAAAACAAATGCCTTCAGCAGCCAGGAAAAGCCTTGCACCCTAGAAGCAATCTTTTCAGAGGTGTGACTTTTTGCCATGGTCTATCCATTGCCCTTTCGTTTCCTGCTGACAGCATTTAGTTCAGATGATTTTAACTTTTCCTTAGAAAATGCCTACAGAAAGCTGGGATTTGTAAGTGCTGGAATAATTTGTGTTGTGCCAGGGCTCTGGAAGCCCTTTCTCTGCAGGCTGACTGTGTGACTCTGTTGCAGGTGCATTTGTCCATGCAGGAAACATTCTGGCTACGCAGCGCTTGATCCGCTGGCACCCCGGCGCTCACGTAAGGCCTTTGCTCTCTCTTTGGCTCTCAGAGAACAGCAGTCCCCCCAGAGTGCCACATTCACTGCCTCCTCTGCATGCTCCTCCCTGTGTTCTGTGCTGATAGTCACAGGCTGCTCAGAGCCTCACCTGTCAGGTGGTGCCAGGTTCCTGTGGTCATGGGACTCAGGGAAGGTCTGCAAGTCACTGATGTCCCAGAACACTTCTGTGACCTGACATTCAGGGTGGAATGGGTGTCTCATGTCTTCTCCTGAGCACCATTGCCAACTGGTTGCTGGAAGCAAGTTGTGTGGTTCTATTTTAAAAAATAAAGCAACAGATGCTGTTGAAGCCAGGATATCAAACAAGGCAGACCAATGATCAGATCTGCTTTAGTTGTGGATGTCCAGCCTCTCCTTTCTAATGCTCCTCATCCTCTCCCAGGTGGGGATGGGCCGTAACAAGACACTCTATGCCCTGGAGGATGGGATTGTGAGATACACCAAGGAGGTCTACGTGCCCCCACCCCGCAGCAGCGAGAGCAGGGATGTGATCTGCCAGCTGCCCCAAGGAGCAGTCCTTTATAAAACTTTTATCAGTGTTGTCCCTACCACAGAGGTAGGAAGCTTCAAACTCGTCACCATGCTGTGAACCTGCTGTGGCATATGGGCACAGATGGAAAGGACAGACCACTGCAGCTGTGCTGGCACCTGAGGACAAGAGTGGCTCTGAAGATACCATTTCAGGACTTGGTGTTGTTCCTGAAGTGCTTGTGATCTGTGTTCAGGCACTGAGATCACCGGCTGGTATTTTTAAGAGTGTTTAATAAAAGCTGTGGGGCAGCTGAAGATCTTGGCTGCTCATGGAATGTGTTACCATGGTCATGTAGTATCTGAGAGCCTGGTCTGTTGTGCCATTGGGTGAATTCCCTCTACAATCACTCTTGTGTCAGTACTTCTCCTGCTAATAATTCCCTCTACTTTTGCTCATTTTTAGTCATTACTGTTCTGTTTGTACCTTAATTCAAAATACAGAACAGATCCTTTTCCACATGCACCTATGCTGTGTACCTGGAAGCTGGATTTTTCCCTCTAGCTCACTCACCTCAATGATTAACTTAAATATCTGAGTGTGCCACTCACTGGCCATGTAAGGCAAGTTCACAGGCCTAATTGTAACTCATTACTGAGTTCAGGGGGCCTGGCAAGATGCCCTAATCTGGGCCAGTATTTGAAGCCTCAGCAGCTGGAGGTGTATGATAAAGCATTATCCAGGAAACTCATCCTTTTATCTTTTGAGTCATTACGTGACATTTTTGAGCTTGTATTGCTCAAAATAACGGAGCCCCAATGTGTTGTGCCCAAAGTGATCTCATTTTATCTACAGGTTTGTAAACAATTTGAAACATTGACTCTGCAGTAGAAAACAGGTTATCAAAATCAGTAGTGTAAGGACACTGGTGTTGACATTATCCAGACAATTCTTCTGCTCTGCAGAAGACCAGGTGCACTGGGTCAGGCACACGTGTCCACCTGTGCTTCACAGTCTTCATGTAGACCTCCAGCTGTTCAGTGTGTGCATCTGTCCTTTCCCAGCCTGCAGACCAGTCCCGTGGTTCATCGTGGTGGTCGGAATTTGGGTATAACCCATGGAGCCTCTCCACATCCATGTGGGCTCTGTACAGAACTGCTGTCAGTGACTGAGGCCATTGGTGCTCCAAAGCCCATCCCTTCTGCCACTCAGCTGAGGATTTCCAGCTGGCAGGTAATCCAGATACAGTAAAACACTTGATAACCTAAGAAACAGGTGAAGCAGCACAATACCACCAGTGCCTGAGGTCTGGTCCTTTGTACAGCCAGCAGTGCTGCCTCACAGAGGTATGAAGTGCTGCTCCTGAGGAGCTGTGGCCTAGCAGACATTCCCCTTGGCTCTGCCCTGTGCAGCTCCAGCAGCTGGACCTTTGCCTTTGGTGTTTGCCAGAGAAGAGTGAGCAGATGTCCCTGGTTCCTCTGCTCAGCTCCTTGCCAGCAATGGCTCTGTGGTTGTTGTGCTGCAAGAGGGATGTCACTGATGGCTGGGTTGGCCTTGCCTGTGTTTCAGCTGATCTGGGTGAAGGTTTGGCCATTCAGTGTGGAGGAAAATGGTATCCCAGGCACTTGTGTTGCTGGCAGCAGGAAGCAGCAGTACCCTGAGGCCAAGGCCTTACACCGCAGTGTTCCGCTGGGTTTGGTAGCTGAAGGGGGCATGGAAAGGCTCTGGAACACCATGTCTGTCCAAGGTCTCTGAGCTTATTCCTGTTCCTGAGAAAGCTGGAGGATGCCTCAGAGCATGCTCATAAGGAGGTGGCATCTATTGAGGAGAGAGGAAGAGCATTACAGAGGATCAGAAATAACTAGGAGATTATCCCACCTCTTCTTACAGAGCAGATGAAAAGACTCACAGCTGCCACCAGCCTGAAATTAAACCCCCACAGTCCCCCAGCTGTAGGCTGGGGAACACCTGGAGATGAGAGCATCAGTCTGGAACATGGCACAAACCTGCTGAGAGATATTCTCCCCTCACATTCTGTGCCAGGTTCCTGCTCTTCCCTGTTCCCCTTCAAGGACTTGGCAGAAGACCAGAACAAACTTGACTTTTGTTGGGAGGGGGCTGTCATTTGTTTTCCCTTGACTAAAGAAAAATTACTGGGATTTACACAAGTACCTACAAACCAGGTGTTGTACCCAGGTTTTGGCAGCAAGTCTCACTGCACAGAGAGAGGAACCTCCAGGCCTTGTCACCTTTTTTTTGGCAGAGCTGGGCTGGCTTTCTCCCTACAGGTGACAAGAAGTGGCATGACAAGGAAGAGCTTCCAGTGCTGTTCCTCAGCTACTTGTCTTTGGAGCTTTACTCTCCTGTGCCCTCAATGCCCAGGTTTCATAGAATTACAGAATGGCTTGGGTTGCAAGGGATCTTAGAGATCATCCAGTTCCAGCCCCTACATGGGCAGGGACACTCTTTCCACCATATCAAGCTGGAACTTTTCAGGCAGGTGTCATTAGATACAGCTCCAAATACTGAGTGGCAAGGGCTGACTATGCCAGGCTTTATGGTACAGCTTTAAGAGCTCAAAATCCAGGTAAATCAGTGAACTTTAAATGCTTTACTCAGGGTTTCAAAAGTTTTTGTCCTGTTTTAGACAATGAGGGCTCTGAATGGGAGCATCTTAGGATGCTGCCACGGGACCTTCTTTGCAGGATGCACTCACTTTTCCCTGTTACATTGTGGGACTGCGAATCTCAAATATCACAACAAGCAAAGCCTCCTCCTCATAAATAAGCCATAAACACTTCAAGGTAATACCAACGCATCTCCCCAGGAGTGTCCTGCAGGGAGAAGGAAGCAAGACCTCATGAAAGCTGTAGAGATCCAAAAATAACACTCCCAGTCTGGGCTTGTATGGAGCAGGGGATCTGAAGAGCCTGCCGTTTCTCTGTGGGGCTCTGCCCTGCCTCCTGGTACAGGCATTTCTGCAAATGCACTGGGGGAGGGGAGATGGTTCATTAACCAGCACAGATGTACACCAAAGGAGCCTCCCGATACACTTTGTGCTTTCCCAGAGATAAAAGCTATCAGGAAAGCAATCACAGAGCACAGAGTCCTCAGCTACCACCAGCTACCAACTGTGAAGCAAGACACAGATATGAACCACAGTGGTGACTGCCATGGGCTTCTGCCAGCCCCCCACGGCAGGGAGGGGAGCTCACCTCCTGGGACGGCTCTGCCCACAGCCCAAACCTGTCAGCAATCATCTGATGGATCTCCCGCTGGCGATCTTTCTTCCGCACGCTCTCGTAGCTGGGCAGGCGGGGCTGCTCCCAGGACGGGAGCTGGTACGTGCTGGGGGGTCCCACACAGAAGAGCTCGTCTCCCTAGAAATGTCCATCCCCAGAAAAGGGTCAGTGTGATGGTGGCTGTCATCACTAGAAGTTTATGTCCTGGTGCGACCTTGAGTTAATTCAGGGTTCAAAGCTGTAGGGAGTTGTAGGCTCCTCTGAACACCCAGAGAGGACATCCACCCTCCCAGGGGGCAATCACCACACGACCTGTGCTGCAGGATCCCAAGCCTCCAGGATCTACCACTGGCACTTCCTGCACAAACACCTCAGGGCACTGTGGTATCCTCTGCCATATTCCTTCCCTCCACATGCCCCCTACCCCCGGGGTTTTTACATACTGGCAGCACTTGCCAAAGGTGTGGGATAGCACCAGAAGATTCTGCCCAGCACCTTCTGCCCCAGGCAAACTCCATAACTCTCTCCAAGCCCAGGAGCACCTTTGCCATCGTTCCCGCCCAGCTCCCAGCAGGACCCTGCCATCACCTGCATTCCAGGGTTCTCAGCAGTGCTCTCCAGCCGTGAGGCTCCACGCTGGGCTCCCACCAGCTGCTGGCTGCTGCTGAAGTAGGGCGGGGGGCGGTCCTGCAATGAGGAGGACATCAGCAAAGCCAAAATCCCTCCCGTCCTTCCCCGCAGAGAGCAGAGCTCAACCAGCTCTCCTGGGACAGCAGGACCCTGGCAGAGGAAGAGTTGCTCCCTCTGCCCATGTGGCTCCTGCAGCTCTCCATGCTGGCAGCAGCCCCTTTTTCTGTTCAGTGACACCAGCAGCTCCAGGACATCTTCCCAGGCAGCGCAGGGTCTGCTCCAAGGGCTGGAGCCAGCTGGAGCAGAGCACAGCCAGAGGGACAGGCTGGGCCCCAGGGCAGGGTTTCACTGAAAATCAGCAAAACCATCTCTTTTTGAGGTACAACAAAAAAACAACCCAGCTATTCTGCTGGTGTAGATAAGAGGCCCCAGGGCAGGGTTTCACTGAAAATCAGCAAAACCATCTCTTTTTGAGGTACAACAAAAAACAACCCAACTGTTCTGCTGGTGTAGATAAGAACTCCATCACATGCTCAGGGTTATAGAATTTGTTAGCTCCTATCTACTGAGCTTGTCCTTTCAGGATCATGCAGCAAGCAAATCCACAGGGCAATAGTTGTACTGTTCCCAAGCTGTCTCGCTCCAGTTAAACTGGATTTCCTGTCAAGGTGTTGAGCAACAGTGAGCAGAAATCCTGTTCACAGAGAACAGCTCCTTGAACCAGAGCCAGGACTTGAGCCATGCCTGTACCTTGCTCTAGGAAAACCTCATCTCTGCCAGCAGAAACCAGCCCAGCGACTCCCAGGGCAACCAGGGATGTGCAGGGAGGACTATGAGGATTTACTGCTGCTCTTAACAAGCAAGGAACTGTTTGTCTTGGCCCTACAGCACAACTACAGAAGCTGCAGGAAAACAGCACCCAACTGTTGGTTCAATAACTCACGAGCAAAACCAATGCGACTATTCCTGCTTCACACACTACAACTGCTTCTCTTTTTCTGAAGGAAATACATTATATGTTCCCTTTCCTTACATAATTCTTTGCATCTATTCTTCCTCACAGTCCTTTGCTAAAGGCAAGATGCCTGCTTGAAGTTTCCACCTCAGAGCTCAGGGAGCATCCCCTACTGCCCCAGGGAGCAGCTCCACGGGGCAAGGGAGCACAGCAGCAGGGCCTGCTCCCAGTGTGTGGCATGGGCAGGCAACAGGAGGGAAGAGAGGGAAAGAAGTGGAGACAATCAGACAAGGACACATCAGTGCAGCCTATTTCCACTGTGATTTCTGGTGGGGACTTCTTAGCCTGTGCTGGACTGTTAGATCTGCCTTTCATAGCACTAGTCTGTCCACCCCTTGCTAGTGAGGCTGAATGTCCACTCTTCTCCCAGGGACTGTGAAGTGGTACCTGCAGCCCTCCCCTCAAAAGCCATCCTTGCAGCTCTGTAGGCTGAGCTTTCCCCAGGCAGTTACTGCCACAAAAGCAA